CATTGCTTTTCACCTGTGGTTCAACAGAAACAACAGAAAAAACAAAATAATGAAAACAGAAAAAAATTTAAAAAATAATGAAACTGGCCTGGACAAAAATGATTGTACCTATAACTTAATATTTTGTTGCACAACCTTTTAATGCAAACTCTGCAAACAAATGATTTCTGTAACTGTCAATGAGACTTCTGCCTTGGTCAACTGGTATTTTGACTGATTTCTCATGACCAAAATGCTCTACTTGTCTCAGGTTTGAAGGGTTCCTTCTCCAGACAGCATGTTTCAGCTCCTTTCACAGATGTTCAAGAGAATTGAGATCTGGGCTCACAGAAGAACACTCCAATACAGTCCAGTGTTTTGTTCTTAGCCATTCTTGGATGTTTTTAGCTGTGTGTTTTGGGTCATTATCCTGTTGGACGGATCCATGACCTATGACACAGCCGCGTCCAGGGAGGTTGGCTACAGTCCTGTGTAACTGTAATCACAGGAACATCAAGCTGCTTGGAGATGATCTTATGGCCTTTATCTTTAACCTGCTTGTCTATCATTTTCTATCTAGTCTCCTGACACAGTTCTGGCAATTCCTGGCAATTAGGGGTGTGCAAAAATATCATATTGTATAGTTTAATATGTTAATTCTGCTGTATTGGTATTGATATATCGCCAAGAGTATTTTTTGGTATATGTTACTAAATCATTTTGTTACAGCTACAGTTTTGTTGCTTGTTTAGAGGAAGGAAACTCATTTATGAGACACATTTGACATTTTGACTGTTTTGATGATTAAAATGTTTGTGTTTCATATGAACTTTGCACAAGAAGTGCTTTAACAAAGACTTTTAGTGTCACAGACATGATTTAGCCTTTAGTTTTTATTGAACCATACTGAATCGATTTGAAATATATCTTATAGCTCACTGTATTGAGATGTGTATCATATCATGGCCTATGTATCGGCAATTTCTTAATGATACCCAGCCCTATTGTCGATATGTATCGATACAGCAGCCCATGATATCGATACTGTATTATCACATTAAATTATATATAGATATTTTGATATTTTTGCACACACATAATTATTAATATTATTTTAGAACTGTACAAACATGTTCTGAAATGTGATTCTTGTATCTTCACCCGCACCTCCTCCCGTGAACACATCACCCCTGTCCTCATAGATCTCCACTGGCTCCCCATCCCCCAGCGCATTCAGTTCAAACTCCTCACCATTGTGTACAAGTCCCTCCACAACCTGGCCCCCACCTGCCTCTCTGAGCTCCTCCACCACCACACCCCCGCCTGTGCCCTCCGATCAGCTGACGCCAACCTCCTGTCTCCCCCCGCCAGGACTAAACATAAGACCTGAGGGGACCGGGACAGTTAATGAAAAAACTTTCATTAATAGTCTTTTCTCTTGTTTGTCATTGTTTGTCTTCCCATGTAAAGTGTCTTTGGGTATCTTGAAAAGCGCTATACAAGTGTTATGTATTATTATTATTATTTTTATTATTATTAGTTCATATTTCAGTCTTTTTTGTCAGTTCTTCTGGACAAGTTTAAAGGTTCTGTAGTATGTGTGAGTGTTTAAGTCATGTTTCAAAAACAGACCTGGAGTTGTGTTTTGTTTCATTCATGTCTTAATAACTCTTTATTATGAATAAATCATGAAATTCATGACGTGATTGATAAGTGTGTATAAGCGGGAGGACTAGTTGGTTACCTGACTAGTTGGTAGTGGCCTGCCGCTGTGGCCCCTTTTAAAAGTGCGACTGATTTTGTAGCCTGTTGAAGTTGTTGTGCTCTGAGTGTTATTGAAATAAAGCTGCTGTGTAAACGATCCTGGGCTGTGGTTCTTACACTGATGCCTCCAAGACCGTGTGACCACCCACAATCTGCAAACGAAGAACATAAACAGTCACCACAACAGAAGTGCCCCAAACCTGCAGGGGGCGCTCTCAGTGTAACAACTCAATGGAGAGACACTGGATGGAGAGACAGACAATGACCAACTGACAATAAACTACAGCGGGAACAAATGACTGTTACAGTAATGTGGCTTTTATTGGATTATATTCTATTTATAAAGACAGTATATGAATATAATCCAATAAAAGCCACTTTACGGTAACAAACATTAAGCGGAGAGCGCCCCCTGCAGCTTTTTCGCTTGCAGGTGTTTTCTTGGTTTTCATTGTTTTGTACTTAGCATCGTTTCTCTATTACGGCACATTTGATGATGACACATTTGTCTTTGTTTCTTACTTGAAGCTGTTTTCTCGAACTGAGATGCATTGGGCCGTTGTAGTGCGTTTGGCCCCCGTCGGCCACTGTAAATTTACCCTCTCAAAGTTGTATTTGGAATGATGTCTGAACATCTTTAATCACATACAGTAGCTTTAAGACACCACACTGCAGATCTACCCCTGTTTTAACCACACTTGTTTCTTTCATTAAGTCGTTTTTAGTCAGAAAGCAGAATGAGCCTCACATGACTTTCTCATTTGAATTGTCAGTTTCGATGCTGAAATCCAGTTGGTTTGGACCTAAAATGTCTCTCTCTGATCTGATTGGTCACTCCCTAAACCCCAGCGCCTGCACCAGTCCTGAGTCAGTGCTAGTGCAGCCTCTGCAGCTCACGGAGGCAATTCTGGAGGTTCTGAGCTTCACATGAGCATAAACTGAGCATTAGAAGCACTTGGATGTGTCCTCTAATGATACTTTGCACTGACATCATGCTGGGGGTGTTCTACATGTATGTGTGTAGTGGAATGTTCAATGTTCAATGTTCAATCAAAAACTGAGACTCCCCCATTTTTTTGTTGGTTTATAATAATAAAATTGTGAAACGAGTGTGTATTGAAAGGGCCATCTCATACAAAATAACTCTTTTCACATTGTGTCTTCTGCACATAAACAAGCACAATTTGAGGTTTTGGAACATCCATTACACAATAGTTCTGAAATCTTACTGATTTCTTGGAGACAGTGTCACAGACCAGGAACTATGAAAGGTCGACTATTGCTCCTCCCCCCGCCCGCCCGTCCTGAGAAAGCACAGGCTCCACCCTCCAAGCGTGACGAAGGCTCTGAGTGAGTCGCCCTTCCTCCGCCCATCTCAGGGAGGGAGGGGGAGACAGACGTGCACCCTGATAGCGGCAGGAATAAACTTTTATTGGTGATACAGCGCGTTCAGCCGCATGTTTTGGACCCGGAATCCGACGAGGACTTTGAGGTGCAATGAAGCTCAAGCACCGTGTCGACATCAGCTGAACATTACTGATTGGTAAAGTATTAATAAACACTAGTAGTCGATGCGGGGTGGAGGCAGGGCGGAGGTGGTGAAGCGGGGGAGGGTGCGAAGCGCTTTCTGCTACTTCAAACACATCATAGGTGTAGCTGCTGCGTCATCGTTGTAGCAGCTTTAGTTCGTTGTCACGTGGAAGGGTGGCAGAAATACGCTGCAATTTGTTACAAAAAACACAGAATCAATCTAAAAACCAATTCAGTGACATATACAAGGCCCACACATCACTCTTAGAAGGTAGAAAGCTCTGAAAAGTTGATTTTGCATGAGATGGGCCCTTTAAGGAAAATCACTATGCAGAGATCATTCATGTCTAACATGTGAGTCAGTATAGTCACATTTTCTTTGTGTTTTGGTCATTTTTAAGCAGGTTTTCTGAATTTTGTCTAAACAAATGGCAATTTATGCCTCTCTTTGCTGTTGGCAGGGATCAGATTGGCCAAAAACAGGGACACCTGTGTTACAGATTTACAACACTCACATTTGACAAAACATTTAACCATTTTCCAGTAGCGTCTTGAACTGTCTCCCTTTGTGCTGTTTCCATTATTGTTCCAGTCCGTGTGGATGCGTTGAGAATGAGCTGAATTCTTGTTTCTATTTTTATCTCCCGTGAAGATGTTTGATCAGAAAAGAGCTGTAGACCTGGTTTCCTTTGTGGGGGGAGAGCAGGGGATTTGTGATTAGTGTGAAAGTCTTACATAACACTCTCGCTCAGCAGGTTCAATTAAGAGAATCCGCTCCATTTTAAAACGACAGGAATTCTAAAGTGTCCTGATGTCATTGGAACCGACAATTCAATTTTTTGGTTGGTCGAACACATTTTAACTTTGAGTGTCTAGAGTCCGTCAACTGCTTTTCTCCATGGTGATCTTACTGCGTTGTTTAAAATGTTGCGCATTATAGCATTAAATTCATCTAACTCCCCCCGTTTTTTTTGTTGGTTGATAATAATAAAATAGTCAAACGAGTGTGTATTTAAAGGGCCCATCTCATGCAAAAACACTTCTTCTCTCAAACCTAAAACACTTTGTTCCACCTTGTGATGTCATGTGGTAATATAGGAAGTGCTCCACTGTGTTTTTAAACTTGACTAGAATCATTTGGATGATTTCGGCCCTGGAATTGCCGATCTCTACTGAACTAAAGATAAAAAAGTGTTAACTTTAAGGTGTTAACTCAAAAACTACCACTTCATGACATCACAAGGTGGAACAGAGCATTTAATAAAAGAATATTCAAACATGTGTGAATGAAACAAAACACAACTCCAGGTCTGTTTTTGAGGAGGTAACAACATTTTAACATGACTCAAAGCTCATAAAAAGAATTTTGTGTAATACAGGACCTTTAAGTTCATGTATTTGGTAAAGAAGAGGCTCTGTACGATGTTTTATCTTGATCTTGAACAGTTTATTTGCTTGTTCATAGCTTTAATGTGATTGTAACAACTGTCCCGTAACCTTATAAGCGTTCCCTCTTAACCACATCCATCTCCAGAGTTCTCGCGTGCTAAATACTAAACCCCATTATGTTATGCCTCTCTTTGAACACTAACTTTCTTTTATAACATTTTCAAACAGCCTCGGGGAGAATCCAGCAGCAGCGCGCTCTCCTCATTATCTGTTTTTGGTTCGGAGTTTCTCGTCTTCCCGTCTCCCGCCTTTTCATTTTTTGCTCTTCTCTTCCGTAGATCGGTGTGGGAAGTCCGTGCTGCAGCGTCCAGGCCCCAAATGGATCCTACTCACTGAATCCGACTGAAAACTGTGAGTATCTGTCATGTTTTCTTTTCAGGTTTGGTTTCTGTGTTGCGTTCGTGCTGCTGCGAAATTAAAGATGCACTGTGTAACTTTTCTGCTGGAGGGTCCGGCATCTGCTCGTCTTCGTGGAGATGCTGTTGCTTTGTCTAGAATCTCCCGGTATGGCATTTAAACGGATCCGTCATGCATTTACTCGATAACATGTTTTTTTATTGACTTAAAAATGTGCATTCTGACTGTGCGTGGGCTCGCATCGCCACAGATCTGACATGTAACTTGTAGGGGTGTAACGATATCCAAGTCTCACAGTATGACCCTCACGCTATGATATTTATTGCGATATCGTGGGAAAGCTCACGATATGGTGGAGAGGCTCAAGATTATGGATGTAACAATATCCAAATCTCTCTGTACGATATTTTCACGATATACATCTCATGGTACGATATTTATTGCGATATTTTGTGGAGGTAAACAAAACTGTTAATATGCGACTTTTTCCTCTTAAAATGCCTTAATCCAAAGAACTAAGACTTAAACGTGATTAGAACTGTTATTTCTTCTTGTCGTCTGCACTGAAATGAAGCAAAGGATCATGGTCTATGTAGTTCCCTCTGTCTATTGCTGCGATTTGACTTGTACTTCGATATATTGTGATGGTCCACGATATTACTGTGAGACTTTTGACAATACGATATCATGATATTTCAGTTATTGTTACATCCCTATAAATAACATATTGGTTGGTTCATTGTAAGTTGATCATGTGATTGCTCTTATTGCCTTTTTTTGTGAGGTAAAGATTCGATTTGTATGAGTCTTATATGTATTGCCCCAAATCTCAATACAGTAGGTTCTGTAAGACATTACCTGCGAGTTGTATATAATATAAAGACTGATTTTGTCTAGGATATATTTATATTTGTATATGATCGCGATAACTTTGGTTAATTTATTTCTGATTTCATTTATGTGTGATTTCCAGTAGGGTTGTCCTGATCTGATCACGTGATCGGAAATCGGCGCCGATTTCCGATCACGTGACAGCGGACTTGATCTGGACTTGGCCGTTATGTTCCGATCAGGTATTGGATAAATAATATACATATATAACACACAGGACACACAGCATTCAACAACTGATGTTTTTTATTTTACTGAGTCGTGGGTTTTGCTCAGGGACATCCAGTCAGCTATCACTAACGTCTGCTGTACCAGCGGCGCACGCGCTCTGGGACTTTTGGACCATGCCGTGCTTGGGCGCTGTTACCTGTGGCTCTGTGGCTCGTGTTCACACCTGCGCGGCCGATGGCGTCATCGCACGGCGCTGTTTGTTTGCATGTAGCGTAGCAGACCTGGCACTTTTGGCTGGGAGGGTGAGAAAAGCGGCATGAAGCGTCTATTGCGCTGTGGGACTGATGTTGTGGCGCGCGCTCCGCTGTGGGTTTGTGGATGTGGTGCGGGGAAATGGGGGCGGCCGGGGGAGTGGTGTCATCTTGTTTTTATTTGGTAAGATTTTGTATTATTTGGATTTCATAGAAGAGCCTAAATGTTTGAAATATAATGCACATGCAAACATATCAAATATAATATCTATAATATCAAATATATAAACTGTAGATTGTGCAGAGTCGAGTCTCAGGTCTGATCTGATTCTGATCTGGTTCCTGTTTTGTCCAGTTCATTAAGTTTACTAAGTTACACATTCCAAGACCAGACTGTGGTAAAAGTCAAGATTTTCAACAACGATGGTGCATGGTTAGAAAAGTTAATAAAATTAAAGTTTTGGACATTTGAGTTTTCACAAGTTCAGTCAAATACTACACGTTGAAATCAATACAATCTGATCTCTGCACACATCCTGGATCTTATTCTTTGCTCTTAGTTAATTTCATAATTTTTATAGAAGTATCGGATCGGGACTTGGTATCGGCAGATACTCACAATCAAATGACTCAGACTCGGGGGCAAAAAAATGTGATCGGGACATCCTTTATTTTCAGTTTAAATTATGGTCTATAGTTGCTCCTATAAACTTGTTTTCAGAGACTCTCTATTATTGAATTTAATTTGTACATGATTTTGTACTTTTCATTTTGCAAATATCATAAATTTAGTTTTTTCCATGTTGGTCCTGCAGTGTTACCTGTCTCTGTAGGGATAAATAAGTGTAGAACATTCCGGGCAATATCTATATGGAGAGAAGCAGGTGATGGATCCTGCACCAGAAATGTTACACAGTGCACTTTTAATCACAACCAACCTGAAATCACAATTAAAACGGTTGCGGTTCGTAAATCTCAAAAGCTGCAGTTTTGTATGTGCTTTATTTAATCCACAAACCATAGATGTGTTCAAGCATGTTCTGAAGTGAGAGTCTTGTATTAGTCTGTCAGGTCGTGTTTAGGGATGTCAAGATTAACTGTTTTTTAAGTACCGTGAATATTTGTGGTCACGTTAGGTTCATCGTAGGGGCTGCAGAACCTCTGGTGTACCGCGGAAATGTCAAGGTGCAACATGGAGCGTAACGCAGGTCACACACCAGAGCACTCCTGTGTGTGACTCACTGTTAAATAAAAGCCAGAAACCAGGAGTTGTATCTATTCAATAACAAATCTAATATGCAAACCCTGTCAGTGTATTGTAAGACTGTTGCTAGGGATGTAACAATAACTGGCATATCGTGATATTGTATCGTCAAAGTTAATAATATCGTAATATAATACCGGATTATAAGGAGCACTGTCATTGAATGGTCTATTTTCAAACTTTATTCACAAATAAACCGCACTGGACTTTAAAGGAAACACAACAGTTGGATGGGTCAGTGGGACTTTGTTTGGTGCGTTCACGGTGACTCTGGGCTTTGTTCAGTTGTGGCGTGTAGGGAGGGTGCTGTCTGGGACCGCTGGATTGTCGGCGTGTTCACAGTGACTCAGTTGTTCAGTTGTGTCTAGAAGTGGCACATTGCGCTCACTTTTTTGGTTCGTTCCACCGGTCCGTTCCTCGTCGGCGTGGAGTGATGAGTGTGGCTGCGGGTGTTTTTGGCTGCGCGGTCGCTGTCTGCTCCGTGTGTGTTTGCGTGCGCTGCGGGTGGTGCGGCTTTCTAGTTTACTGAAGTCGTGCTGGGACTCCCAAGTGGATTTGTGTATAGGCGAGTTTCAGCTGATGTCATTGTTATTAAAAGCCCGCGTTGCATGCTGGGAAATATTTTGGTCGGAGGCAAAAAACACGATAGCGGTCAAACACAGTGCGTAACCTCGCATATTTATCCCCGATAATGGTAAATTCCTGCTGCATTATCGGATGCACAAATAGAAGCACGGAAGAAGGAAAATGTCTTTTTCGTATTCTGAGTGAAAAGAACCACTAACGGTGAATTAAATGGCTTTCAAACATTCGCAGAGCAAACGTAGAAGATCCTAACAAACCATGGACTCCAACAAGTTCAACAACACATCGAGACTCTTGGAGGTTTTCATCTTTTCTGCTGTGAATGGCCCAGGAGTTTTCACCAAGTCATTGTGGATATCGCCGAAGTGAATGTTTGTCCTGGTAGTTGGCGATTCTGACCAGAAATTTGGTTTGGTCCACCTTTTGTAGGGGTTGAAAAGGGTGATTTGTCGTCCATCGATGCTTATGACCAATTTCTGGTCAAATGGTCTTGGGTCCTCTGCCGTTAGAGTGGATAAATAACCGGGATCAATACCCTTTACGTGCTTTCTCGCTCTGTCCGTCATGTTGAATTAGTGTTTATTGCTGCCGACCAAAATAATTCCCAGCATGCAACGCGCGCTTTTGTCAACAATGAAACTCGCCTACAGGGTGCTCTGGATTGTGGGGCGCGCAGTCGTTCTTTTGATGGGGTTGGAGGCTTAAGATGGTGCGGAAAATACGGTATATTGTGAATATTATACAGAGAGATTTAGATATCATTACATCCTTAATCGTGAGGCTCCCCACCATATCGTGAGTCTTCCCATGATATCGCAATAAATATCGTATCGTAAGGTTCATATGGCGACAATATCGTAACGTGAGACTTGGATATCGTTACACCCCTAGCTATCGCCAAAGTCTCCAACATGTGATCCAACTGTGTCTTTGAGAGAATTATCAATCGCCGTTTGTCCAAGTAAAAGTACAAAATGTGTCCTGTTCTCAGAATCAAGTGTCACGAGGCTTACACACAAAACAGTTGTGCTTCAGTGTGCTACATTTGATGTAAACTGCAGTTTCAAAATGAAAACATTCAGTAAAGGGCAAGGACATGTACGTCAGGATCAGCTGGGAAACCAAAGTAGTCCTTAGTGCACATGAATGACGTGCACTCAGGATAACCCGTACACTTTTTGTGTTTAGAGGTTACTAATAATTCTAACAAAAACATTCTAAATTTCGGAATGGAGGCAGCTGGAGGCAAAAATGAAGTGGAACATAATGTGGTTTTAATGGGAAAACTGGGATTAACTTCAGAATATCCCAAGTTATGAAAAATCAAGGACAATTTGGAAAATGGAAACCACTCAGATATGATCAGAGCCCAGTTTAAAAACACTTTCAATTGTGTTTTACTTTGTGTGTTTATTTGACAAGAGATTATGATAGACACTAAGAAGGCAGAACCCACATTTTGAGGTTTTACTGAACACTTTTTCCACTTCATCTACAGATCTGTTACACATTTCATCATAAATTATAGTTTTTATGAAGTCCAAATACTATTTTGGAGTTAGAAAATTGTATTTTTTCCATCCTTCTTAACAGAGAAGCAAAGTAAATAAGATTTGTAGCTTGGAAATTTAAAATAGTTGCTTATTTTTTGCCTCCATTGCAGAATTTTGATCATTTTGATGACATGAGATTTGAAAGGGTCGAATCATCTTTGTTAACGCTTTGATAAGGCTGATTAAGGTGAAATTATTATAAAGTGTGCATTCTGTTCATGTTTGGTTTTGATGCTTAATAATAGCCTGTACATTGTAGCCTGTGTGTAGTAGCCTGTG